AGATTTTTTTTTAAAATTACTTTGTTTACACAAAATATTAAAATATATTGTTTAAATAATTCCAGATTTTGACAATGGATTCTTGGAGAACAACAAATCCTTATTGTTATCTAAATTTTATTGTATACCCCTTGTGCGCATTCTTTTCAAGTTCAATAGATTGTATGCATCCAATTTCTTATAAGTTATCTGTTCCAACCATGAGAATTTTTTTCTACACTTGTAATCCATCCCAGAGATCTGTTCCAAGATTTCATTATGTTGAGCAAATGTTTTTATGGCAAATGCTTTCACAAGAAAGAGAATAAGATATATAGTGGTAGATGTAGAGAGTTACTTGTGCATTGATGTGTTGAAATATGTTGAATGTTGTTAAAATAAAGACTTTTCCATTGGTTTTATAAAAAACGAGGTAATATATTACTTGCAAAAAATGGTTAGTGAAAAAAAATTGAAAGTAACATGTCTTATTTCCTTTTCAACTTTTTATCTCACCATTTTTTGTACGGCAAATGTTTGCAATTTACAACATGTTTAGTAATAAATTTCTCAATGTTGTCAACCGAGAAAAATAATAAATTATGAAGTGTTTTCTTTAATTGACAATATAGGAAGATTATTCCAAAAATACAACAACAACATCAACACCTTTATGTGAAATATATTGTAAGAGCAAACAATTTTTTTTGTTCAAGATATAAGAACATTGAAGACTTTTTCTGTCTTACAACTATCCCAAAGAATGACGCGTACAAGTTTGAAGTGAATGCATATATGTTAGATTTATAGTAAAATCTAATTAGTAAGTGCTTTTATAGTAAAATCTGATTATCTAATCCTTAACTATTATAGAAACCAAATGAATAAATCATTAATTTAAAAGAAAATAAAAAAAATACACAATTTTTAAGAAGTAAAAACATAAACTATATTTGCTGGAATTTGAAACATGTCTTAAATTATTTTTTCCCTCCGCCATATTTATAAATTGAAAAAATATGTGGCATTTATTTAAAATTAAATAAAACATGACACCTTTTGGCATTATACCTCAGATTTTATGGGGTGAGGTGGAAATTTTGTCATAAAATATATTAATTGTAATAGTAATTGCCATTTTTCTATAACCTGAACAAATAATAATAATAATAATAATAATAATAATAATAATAATAATAAAATTAAAATAATAAGAATATATGATGCACTAATAGTAGTAAACACTTTTGATAGAAACGATTGTGCTATTGAGAAAATCAAATATTTAAATATTTATGTTATAATATTTGCGAGCTAATAAGATGATATAAATTACTAATCGAGGATATATCAAACTAATAAAATAAAGAGAAAAAATAGATAATGATATCTTTTAGATTTAAAAAAAAAACAATGACTTATATCTTTATAAATCAAATGTGATATTTATACGACTAAAATTACAATTATTACATAAATATAATAATTTATATTAAATTGATCTTATAAATAAAACATTACTATTTTAAATTAATATTATAAAAAATAATTCACATACTATTTTTAGTTATTTTAAGTTGACATTTTAGATTAATATCTTAAAATAGAATAATTAGAATTTTCTAATTTCTTAAATCGCTTTCTTATATATACAAGTTCATTCTCAATCTATACACAAAACTTATAAGAGATTAAAAAAAACAAAGTCAATATTGAGATAATATAAATTATACATGGCAGAATTGACGGATCCTCCAATAAATGAGCACATGTTCAAGGTCATATTATTTCAAACATCATGAATTTTTAATCTTTAAGTAAACTAGCTATTTAGATTAATCAATCAATGTATATACTAATTCATATTAATTCTAATAGTTATATTTATATCTATATAATATAATAATATAGCCCCCACATATTTTTTTTTCTCTGAAAAAATGTATCTAAATATAAATTATATATTAAATTATTTAATATTATTAATTTATCTTGTGTAAAAATGAAAATTTTGAAAATATAAGATATTCTATAAAATTATATTTAAATTTTGAATTAAAAATACAAGTGTTTTCTTTTTAGAAAACCAAAATAATGTGATATACATGACAAATAAGTGAAATAATTAAACTTTTTAAAAAAGTTTTGTTTAGTTATCCTACATTACACTTGTAGTTGTATTCAATTTAAAGAGTTTGATTAATATATAACTCATTAACTATAATAATTTCTAAACAAATACATAATCACATATTCTCTATATTTATATATATATAATTTAACATAAAAATACTATATCCAACGCATAAAAGTAGAATATTGTATTCAACCTATATTATATAAAATTTAAATAAGTGTGAAGAGTCCTTTTAAATATATAGAGATTTGTGAAGATTAACTCCAATTTAATTATAATAAATGAATATCTTTTTCTAAATTAGGATTTAAATATTTTAGGAGACTTTTTTTAGTAATAATCTAATCATAATAAATTTTAGATTCTATTAAGTATTCCGTTTTACATACTTTTAAAAATAAGAATGATAAAATGTATCCAATCCATTAGACATGAATATGTTTGTTTTACTTGATTTTTTAAAAATATGTCAAGATTTTAAATCTGTTCTCTTTAAAATATTAGTTCTGTCTAACTCCGTTTTCAGTAAATTTAAACTCTAACATATAATTTTATAATTTTTAAACCTAAAATATTTAATATTTGTGGATTCGTATCCCATATTTACTTCTACGTAGGATGAGACAAAATTTTAAATCTATACCATTAAATATGTCCACCTCACCCTATTGATTTTACGAAACAGATCTATTCAAAACGGGGACTGGGACTGTTTGTCATCCATTATAGTTAAAATTTTCAATGTTATATAAAATTTAAATGAGTATGTTAGATTTATATCAAATTATATAAGAAATATAATTCATATATTTAATATCTTAAAATTTGAAATGTAACTCTAGATCATAGAATATGCTAGATTTGCTACTTTCCAACACTTCCAATACACTAAAGTGAGCACCATCCCCACACTAAAATTTTATTACTATCTAAAAAAAAAAACAAAAAAATTTGATTTTTTTTTATAAAAGCTCAAAGAAAATACTAGATCTAGAGCTAGATGTAGCATCAATTTGTTTGTTCCTCTATTTTATTATCCTAATTTTCAATTGGATTACCCGTTACTTCATCACCCATTATTACTAATTAAAGAACAAGATTGGATTTTTCTCGTTTGACTAAATCTAGTATTAAAATACTCCAAATTAAATTACTTTCGGCACCAACAAATGCCTCAAGGACGGTGGGTGCAAATTGGTACTCCACAGAAAGAGAAAGGAGCGTCTTTTTCTACACAAACAACAACTTCAACTACAACTTGATCAACTAAATCCAACGTCATTGCGTAATATCCAGAGAATCACAACTTGGGTCTATTTTGTTTTTCCTTGAAAGCTCTGGTTTTGGGTGCTGGGAATGTGTTTTTTTCGTCCGTTGTTGAATCAAAGGTGCGTCTTTTTGAAGTTAGAGGAAATGGGTGTGTCAAAGTTTTGATTTTTGGTGTTTTTTCTTCATTGGGTTGTTGTAGGTAGAATTAGTTTTGTTCCGTCGTCTTTATTTGTTAATATGTTTCTGTTTGCTTCATTGTGATGTGAATGAAGTTGAACTGGAATAGGAGGAACCCTAGATGGGAGAATCTAGGGGTTTAGAAATCTAGATGGAGGGTTTTAGTTTGGTTTCTAATGGTATTTATATTTTGACTATATTTGTCAACTTTCATTAGATTTGTTTTGTTCCGATGGTGTTTCAGAAGATTGTTTCTAATTTCATGATTTATCCTTGAATGAATTTGGCTTGTTGAATTTGGTTTTAAGAGGATTGAAAGCTTGAAATAACTGACTTTGATGTGTGTAGTTGCTAAAAAAAATACAATGGACAACTCCTAGTTGTGTATGAGGTTTAAGGTTTAGGGTTTGTGGTGTGTTGAGAGCTTATTCGTGTAAGGGTTGTGGAGAGCTCCTATGTGTGTTTCTGTGGGAATTTCGTGATCCCTTCCCTCATTTCAAGTTGTGTAGGGTTGTATGAGACTTAAGATTTAGGGTTTATGGTGTGTTGAGAGCTTATCCATGTAAGGGTTGTGGAAAGCTCCTATGCGTGTTTCTGAGAGAATTTCGTGATCCCTTCCCTCATTCAGGAATTAGAGTACTCATAGGAAATTTCTTGGGCCGAGCTAGAAGCGGTTTTCCTTCATTCCCTTAACAGAGATGTGAAAGTGGTGAAGACTGATTCTTTTTTGAATCGTGGGGGAGACAGTTTCTCCTCTTTGACTAATATCTTCAGACCATTACTGACAGGCGGAATGGGTCGTGGATACCAGTTTGGCGGGTGACCCAAGTCCATTTAGGCGATAAGCCTAACCGGGCGACTAGGCCAGCTTCGGGCGTTCGCCCAATGTCATGGACCGTCCCTTTTTAGGCCCATTAAAATTATCCCATTCCGACATGTTTTGATTTTCTCGTGTAGAAGTGAGGGTTTTAAAAACGGTCTGCGACCGTGAAAACGGTATCGACAGATGCTGGTACCGATACCGTTATCACCGTTTTATGTTAAAGAACAAATTATGATTAATTCACACCACGACAACCACAATCAGTGTCGTGATACCTGAACCGACCGAAATCGCGAAAGCCTTTACGCGACCGCGACTGTTTTGTAAAACCATGGAAGTGATTCTAATTTAAAGTTATAATTTAGAGATTTTGCCTCTACAATTGATTTGAATCTCAATTTTTTTGTTCAACTCTCTTTAACACGAATGTCATTGTGTAATTTTTTATATTTGATCCGACTGTGGCTAACATTTATTGTTTCTGCACTTATAAATAGCAAGTATATTGGTTTCCATAATATCTTATTGCATGTTGATTTGTTGCTAAAAGTTGTCTCAATTCCATTCTGTTTACAGAGAAGTTTCTTTATAGGTAAAACGTTTCTATACGAACACATGGAACCTAGAAATGAGTACCAGCCTGGATCACAGCCAGTAGTGCAGGACCATATGAATGAAATTTATCCGAGCAGAAGACCGTATGACCTCAATGCATCAGAAGTTAAACCTGTACATCATTTCTCGATACAGACGGGCGAGGAATTTGCTCTTGAATTTATGAGAGATAGGGCAAATCCCGGGAAGCCTGTGTTTTCGAATATCGGTGATCCAAATTATACCACAGGGTATATGGAACTGAAAGGCATTTTAGGCATCAGTCATGCAGGATCTGAAACTGGATCAGACATTTCCATGCTATCAATGATGGAGAAATACCCTAAAGAGTTTGATACACCGAACTCGTCGTTTCTTGGAGACAGAAGCAACTATGGATCAATTCGATCATTACCAAGAACTTCACTGAATCAGGACAACAGGCAGTTTGTGCAAGGATATGGCTCTTCTGAGAGTTACTATAACTCGTCGACGATGATGAAGTTTCTTTGCAGCTTTGGCGGTAGAATATTGCCGCGGCCATCTGATGGAAGGCTAAGGTATGTAGGAGGCCAAACACGGATTCTCCGTTTAAGAAAGGACATATCTTTTCATGAGCTCATTCAGAAAGCATTGCTAATATATAACCAGGTTCATACAATTAAGTATCAGCTTCCCGGGGAAGATCTCGATGCTTTGGTATCTGTGTCATCCGATGAGGATTTACAGAATATGATGGAAGAATGTAATCATCTAGAAGATAGAGAAGGATCACAAAAGCTTAGGATGTTTTTGTTCTCAATCAGTGATTTGGAGGATGCTCAGTTTGGTCTCACCTCCATGGGCGATGATTCCGAAATCCAGTATGTTATTGCTGTTAATGGCATGGACTTGGAATCGAGAAAAAACTCAACTATGGCCGGTTTCAGCTATTCTGCAAATGATATAAATGAATTGGGTGGGCAAAATATTGACGGACAGGGCAATGCTCCCCTGACGAACAATTTCGACTCATCATTGCCTACTAATTTTTCTCAACCAGGGATACCAACTTCTTCAAATTCGTACGAAATGTATCCACTGTTTTACGCCGATCAAATGATGCACCACGGTGAACCGAATGGTCATGGTCATGGTCAATATCTTATGCATCACGGCGGTGTTAATCCTTCTTATAAACCTTTTATTGAAGAGACTCCTATTAATATGATTCCTTATATGCCGAATAATCAACAAGGGGTTTTAAATGAAGGTCACCCACGTAGTGGATTACAGGTACACAATTCAGACATACCAGACACTTTGACGAGAACGATGGGTGATAATTCAATTCAACAAGAAACACTATCGTTGACTCCTTCTCAACTGTTTGACGGTTACTCACAAAATGATTTTCCGGAAGCATCAGTTGTAGTTACTGCGCCAGAGGGACATTCATTGCCTCCGAGAACGAACCAGCTCCAGGATTATGACGAAGCATCTTCTACTTCCGGCAGTGCATTTGGTGCTCCTTATGTTGATTCCCGATCCAATGCAGTTGACTTAAGTTGTCTTCACCCTCCTCCTCTTCCTAAAAGAGTTTATTATTCCGAACGAGCTCCAAGGAAGCAAGTAGAGTCGCTGAATCGGTCCTCAAAGTCGGATGATGCACAGAATTCTCAGTTTCACGTTTCAGATTTACTTTCCGGGGTCAACTCACAGGATTCAGCTATAGACTCTGGAAACAACTTGCATGACGGAAATCTATCTAATCTAGCCGAGGAATTGAACATCACATCGAAGCCTTTGCATACAGATGGAAAAGGAACTGAAGATATCTTAAATAAGGACAATGCTGTTACGTTGGAAACAGAAAATAGTTTAAACGATAACCATAAAAAATCTCCGCTTGAAGGTAAATCAGACATCTCTGCTCGGTATCATGATCCAGCATCCAATCTTCCCGATGTTGATTGGGGTGACACATCTGTGAAAGAATCAAACGATGATTTTAACAATCAAGCACTGCCTGTTCCTTTGAATGCAAACGCAACTGCAAAAGTTGATTCGCAGGGACAAGGTGACATTCTTATTGATATTAATGATAGATTCCCCCGCGAGTTGCTTAACGATATCTTCTCCAAAGCAATACTAGAAGAAGATTCCTCTAGTCAACATCCGTTAGCTTCAGATGGAATCGGTTTAAGCATAAAAATGGAGAATCACGAGCCTAAAAGTTGGTCATATTTTCAAAAATTGGCGCAAGACGGGATTGATAACGATAACGCATCTCTTATTGACCAGGATCATCTTGGATTTTCACCTGCTATAGTTGGAGATATTAGAGCTCAACATGTTACACCTTTAACAACCGATGAAGTTCCTTTAAACCGTGCAGAGTTCCATCTAAATTTTGGCGAAGAAGTTCAGAAAGACTTGCATGGAGAAAACGGAACCGAAACTACTGGTCTGAAAACAAATTATGATCAGTCCCAAGCTAAGGACACTGAAAGCATGCAATTCGATGCTATGTTGGACAACCTAAGAGCACAAGAGTCACACTATGAGGTACTATGTTAGTATTTTCTTAATCAAGAATCTTACAAATATTTGTATATCCTTGCTGACATAATTTTTTATCGCTTTAACTTAGGTTGGGAAGTTTGAAAAGAAAAATAGCAGTCTACCTCCTCTTGATCCTTCTTTAGAAGAATTTGATATGAGTACATTGCAGGTAAAATGTTTATTTTTTTCTTGAGCAATATTTCTTCTGTGCTGTGATTTTTATTTGGTCGAAATCTGTGATAAAATCTCGTGTGTTATTCTTCATTTGCGGTTTTTGCATCTGTTTTCTTTTGAACTAATGTTGCATTTCTAACAATTTAGATATGATCTAATAAAATAAAAAGTAATATTAGGTAAATCTATATCTATTATTTGATTTTTGTCATAATTTGAGATACTAAAGTTTCTATTTTTGTAATGTATTTTAAAATGAGTTAGATTGAAAGTTAATTGTATATATCTTCAACAATATTCACACGCATTCAGATTTCAATGTCTTGGTTAAACACTGTTGTGAAAATTTCGTTCATTTGTTTCATTGTTCTTCTGATGTGAATTGTAGGTCATAATGAATGAAGATCTTGAAGAGCTGAAGGAACTAGGTTCTGGTACCTTCGGAACGGTATATCATGGAAAATGGCGAGGAACAGATGTTGCTATTAAGAGAATAAAGAAAACCTGCTTCACCGGTCGGTCGTCTGAGCAAGAGAGACTGGTAACGATTATCTTTCTTGAAAGTGCTTCAATGATAACGATAATCTTTAAGAGATGTGAAATGAAATCATATCTGCTTCTTTTTTCAGACTGTTGAGTTTTGGCGGGAAGCTGATATTCTTTCCAAGCTTCATCATCCGAATGTGGTGGCGTTTTATGGCGTGGTGCAGGATGGACCGGGAGGAACAATGGCAACTGTTACGGAGTATATGGTTGATGGTTCTCTTAGGCATGTATTACTTCGCAAGGATAGGTAATGCATATTGAATAAGAGTCATAAAGAGTGTATGTTGATGAATCTCCCATCACGTTTAACGAATGAATTTAACTCTAAGAATCTTGCAGGTATCTTGATCGTCGCAAGAGACTGATAATTGCAATGGATGCAGCTTTTGGAATGGAGTATCTGCATTCGAAAAATATTGTGCATTTTGACTTAAAATGCGACAATTTACTTGTAAACTTAAAAGATCCATTACGGCCGATATGCAAGGTACTGAAGCTGGGATCTTTTATCCTATTTTCTACGAAATTTAAAATGTTGTACATTTAATGTAAATGCTGACAAGACTGCGAAAATGTCCTTTTTTTTTTTCTTTTTCAGGTTGGTGATTTTGGTTTGTCAAAAATTAAACGAAACACCTTAGTTTCCGGTGGGGTGCGTGGAACTCTACCGTGGATGGCACCGGAGCTGCTGAATGGTAGCAGCAGCAAAGTCTCAGAAAAGGTAGAATTTTGAACTGTCTAAACTAATTACTTTATTTGCTATAAATATGTTTTGGTTTTTTGATATTGAATTTGGATTTGTATAGGTTGATGTGTTCTCCTTTGGAATAGTACTATGGGAGATTCTTACGGGCGAGGAGCCGTACGCGAATATGCACTATGGTGCAATCATAGGTACACTCTTTTTCTTATGCTCTTGTTTACGCTTATGCTCCCATTCAATTCGACTTTAATGGAAAGGGATCAAAGCTCCGTCACAAAAACGCCACAGACGTATGACTAAAGCAAATCATTGACGATTGGAGCTAACCACTTGGTTTGTGGACTAGCTATCTATGTACAATAAAGGGTTTTCTAAATTTTTATATTTCCATGCAGGTGGAATTGTTAACAACACACTAAGACCAACAATCCCGAATTACTGTGATCTTGAATGGAGAACACTGATGGAGCAATGTTGGGCACCAAATCCTGCAGCTAGGCCATCTTTCACAGAAATAGCGAGTCGGTTGCGTATTATGTCTTCGGCAGCTAGCCAAGCCAAATCACCAGGGCACAAGGCATCCAAATGATTGAAACAACTGCATGGTGGTGTAGTGTTTGTTTCTATCTTTTGCCATTATTATAGGCATTGATAGGCCTTGATGCTTTCTTTTTTTAATATGAAAATTGATGGTTCATTGATTGGTCATCCATGGAAGTATTTGATGAATTTTGTATGTCAAAAGTCCATGGCTGATTGAAGTATTGTTATACACTAAACGACATTCATAGACGTTCAGATTAATTTCTGTTTAAATAGTTTTTTTTATTTTGGCCTTTCTTCTCAAAATCAAATCAGCTTAATCTTTGTTTATTTTCTATTGTCTAGACCTCTTATTATAAAAGTAAATTTATTTGGAAAAATTAGAACACTATTTGTTGCACTAAGCTGTGTCGCCGTTACGGTAAGACATTTAAAATAAACTAAGCTACGGTACGTTAGAGTAATTTTTTATAATGTTATTGTAATGTTATATTTGCATGAGCCCTAAAACAGGGCACCCTTGCATAATAATTGTATCTCTCAAGCAGAACCTGTAAGGACTCGCCTAGAGATGTCCAAGGGAATAACAGACACTCAAGTCATCCATACATTTTTTAACACCCTAAAGAGTACAATGCTCACGACCATTTCAACATCATTATTGCCGACAACTGTAGGTCTGCTACTTGAATAAATTTAAAATTTTATCAAACTCTTCTCAACATCATTATTGCTGACAACGGTAGGTTTGCTACTTGATTAAATTAAAAACTATCAAACTCTTCTCTTTCTGACATCCGTATGTTAAAATCGTGCCAGAACCTTTATCCTTCTTCATTTCTAAAAGAAATTCAAAATTTTATCAAACTCTCTAAAAGATTTTCCATCAACACGGGCGAAAGATTACTCTGGCTTGCCTCAGCCGAATGAAGAGTGGTTTCAGGAAGCTTTGTTCCTATCTAGAATGAGGACTTGTGCATGACCGTTTATATTATGGTCAACCATGGGATACTTAATGCATTCGTGGAGAGATGGCACATCGAGACCTCGTCATTTCATCTCCCGCTTGGTGAGATGTCTATAACACTCAACGATGTGTCGTGTTTGCCGCATCTCGCGGTCAGAGGAACCTTCTAGATCACGGGACGATTAGCAAAGACGAGGCACTCGAGTTGATGGTAGACTATCTGAGAGTTGACCAGAGGCTGCGATGTCGAAGATGGAGAAAATCAGAGGGGCTCATGCTAGGTTTGAATTTTTAACAAAAGGTATATACAGATTAGCTCCTTAGAGCAGACAAGCTAGAGGTGATGACGAGCAGGTGAGGCTCCATAGAGCGTATGCTATGAGAGCATACCTGTTATATTTAGTTGGCACTACGATTTTTATGGACAAGAGTGTCACTTATATAGATGTCGTGTATCTACGGTACTTCGAGGACTTTGAGCACATCCATAAGTACAACTAAGGACCGCTTGTTTGGTCTACTTGTACTCGAAGTTATTAAAGGGATGTAGATGAAAGACGAAGCAGGTAACAAGCAGCATCACACTACTGACAGTAATATTTATTGGTCTTTTAATGTTTCTGTGTCATTTTCATTTCATCTTTGCAAAGCCATTATTGATGATTCATGTGTTCCAACACTTTTCAGGCTTGGATCCTCCAGCACTTCCCGCGTATCTTCGGTTGGGCTATGTACCGACTTACACTAAGGATATGTTGGGTGCTTCTGCATTTTCTCCACTCAGAAGGAACCATGCGATAAAGTCGCCAGAGTGTATTTTGACCGCTTAGTTATCGAGTACATGCACTTAAACAACTATGGAAATCACTGTGAGATGCGACCATTTGAAGACATAATGCTATACTCAGAATGATTGGCTTGCATATCACGTCTCACTACTCCTCATCTTCTCAAGCGCGTGATGTGGAAGTTCGGCTACGGTCAGACCATTCTCAGACACCTTGTTGTCGTTGCTCCTTGTAACACTCTTCTAAACCCCGCGAAATAATATAAATAATCAGAGTAAATTATCATGCATCTCAAATAAGGGTGTCACATATATTTTTAAAACATCACACATATACTTGTTATGCTCAATAACACTTAAAATAAATTCATATTTTTCATATACTTTCACATAACATGTAGCAGCGGATTTACTTCAGTCATAAATAGACCTAATGAAAGTGTCATACTCATCACATTCATAATTAATACTTAGGCATAAAAGCCAATACTCCATCTAATTCAAATAAACATAACAACATAAAGTATAGTACATAATATATCTCTCAAACATAAATCGAAATAATCCCAGTGTTACATGATCAGAGCACGACTCAACCCAACATAAATAAAGAAACTAAATCAGCTACTCCAATGACTACCTCGCACTAGAAGCAACTATACTCCCCGGTACCTGAGCGATGTCGTACAAAACATCATTCCAACAGAAGGGTGAGAATTCACATAATTATTGAAATTATAAGATAATATATAATTTAATGCATACAAGCATAATCACAATTATTCTCACACTTCAAAAATTTCATCAACAAAGTACCACTCAAGTAACCATATCATTAAAAAATATATACACACAACCCATAATTTCACCAATTCAACAATTCACATAAATACACATAATCTCATATTGCAATCAAAGACACCATGCGACTCAATGCAACTGGTCATTTGGTTCATATAGAACCAATCAATTCTCATCAATTCCCATTCGGAATTATGGATACATCACTTATACCCCATTAGGAACGACATCTTAGTCATTCTACCCTAGTGAGTACCCCACTAGGAATGACATCTTTGTCATTCTACCCCAGTTCGCACGACTATATCACTTATACCTCACTAGGAACGACATCTCAAACATTCTACCCCAGTGAGTACGAGTCTTGTCCAAGTCTTATGCAATGCAAACCATGATAATTGACTCATGACAAACATATGCATACACACGTAATTCAACACAATAAATTAATTACCACATACATTGATATTCATTTATACAATGTTTTCACGCCACAAAGACCATCATCAATAATCACATTTTCATAATCGTAACATTCTTACTTCAATCATTACCACCACACATAGTAAATAATACACAAAGTATCAATATAACCCAACTCAATTCACACAACACATTACCAATTAATTATAGAATAATTAATTCATCATTAATAATTAAATTCACTATTCAAATGGTATACAACACATTTTACAATACAATCACAAATGTATTATCATTACGACAAAAAATAACTATCATGCATTTCATGTTTTCAGACACCAAAATATACTTATACAAGCACTCATACAAGTATTCGATAAATTATCCACAATAATTTCACAACCGACAACAAACAGTACCACAATTCATTAATAGAACATATAAACAATTGGCTTTCCAAACATATTAGATATAAAAATATTGGGAAACCAATTCTCTTATCCATACTATGTTATAGATCTATTCATTAGTTTTCCAACGCTTCACACGAGGACCAAAACGGACTTACGGATCAAAAGTTACGTCCATTCCGCCATCCCTCGCTACAGGTTCGCTACTGCTCGCGTCGCGACTTTTGCTATGCGAAATACAGCTCGCATCACGACGTTCACTATGAAAAATACAACTCACATCGCGACTCCTTACAGAATATAAATCATGAACTTTTTCTACTGATTCGCTACGTGACGTTCGCTATGCAAAATATAGTTCACTATGGAAACTCTCCCAGACAGCAAACTAGAAAAGTGCGATTTTTGCAGTTTGGAGGCCTTCCGGACCTCTGAATTCGGTTCCCTAAAAAGTTCCAGTTCCAGAATTCGAAATACTATCATTATATGACAATTAGAACAACCTACAACCCATATTTAAGGATCCTACCATAATACATCATGTAATCATCAATTTCAAAATCATGGAAATTAGGGATTTTTATCATAAATGTGATACTACCCATCATACACTATCATACAATCTCATAACCATGTAAAGACCCACCCTTACCTTGACTTTTGATGATTCTTGAGCTCTCTCTCTTGGTTCTTTTCTTTTTCCCACTCCTCTTTTCCTCTTTCCTCTTTCTTCCTCTTTACTAACTTTCTCTCTCTTTCTATTCTTATCAAACCCTAACATTTGTCTTTAGACAATTGGGCTCAACTCAACCTATTTCCACATACTATTCACGCACCTAATTAAGTCCAACTAAATAATCTAGTAATTCTACATTATTCTACTAATTAGAATAAATCAATTAATTTAATAAATAAATAATTACTAAAAATTGGGGTGTTACACTCCTCCTACTTTGAGACATAGACATATGGACGCCATGTTTGATGATTATGAGAGTCAACTGGAACCAGAGGAGGCATAGAGTACCATAGCTGAGAGCGACTTGAGCTATGTCGACGAGTACATCAGGTGTTTCTTTAGGGTGTCGCATCCATATATGATGCAGATTTCTCCAGAAGATCCAGCGAGGTCAGCTCAACAAGAGATACTAGACGAGAAATAAGCATAGTTAGATCATGCTCATGATGTCTTGCCTAGATGTCGTTGCATAATAGAGATTGCATAGGTAGGAATTAACAACGGTATCTACCTAATGAGTTTGATGTGAGGCAGGTCCTAGATGCCATCATGACGGAGGCACGAGAGACATTGATGTACCGCAGACAGCGTTGAAGGACAGGGGGTATTGAAGGCTGAGGAGCATGAGGAGACAGAAGAGATGTAGTAAGATATACCCATTAGTGCAATAGTATATATTAGTTGTACATTGAACTCATTATGGATTGTATTTTATTTTCACTTCATGCTACTTTATCATGTATTTTGACTTTATTTATATATGTCATTTTTGGACCATCTAAATTTATATATGACATTTTTTCATATTTATTGTATGGTTTAAATCTTGTCACGTACCATGGCACATAATGTTTATAAATCTTCATATGAATGAACATAAACAAAACATAACATGCACTATTCTTATAGGTTACAGAGA